CTCCTGGGCTACTCTTCGGGCTCTGTTTCTTTCGGTGATCTTGCGATTTACCTCGTCAGGTAGGTCCCTGAACCTGTTTGGTTGCGTTATGTCTTCCACGGTGGTTGCGGCTTCTAACGCAGCCTTAATCTTCCTTTCTAGGTCCGTGACCGCTTCTTCTATGCTTTCGGGGCTTTCGATCTGTAGTAGTGGTCCTTGTGAATAGTGCAGTCTGGTTCTAAACCGCTGCCAATTCACTCTCTTCACTGTTCTTTGTTCCACAGGTGTTATCCCATCTCCCGTACAGAGAAAGATGGGGTTGTGGTCTGAGCTTCCCTCTTGCATGGCGCCGATGGTGGTGCGCATGTCGATTTCCTTCAGAATCGCCATATCTATGACGTCTGGTCTACCTCCGTTGCTGGGGTATATTGTAGGTTCGTCCGGACCTATCATGGTATATCCAGGTTCATCCATTAGTCTTTCCAGAACAGCGCCGTGACTGTTTCTGTTTCTTGAGCCCCAAATGGTGGACTTCGCGTTTAGATCACCTACGATCACGGTACTGTTTCCCAGTGCAGTGATACAGGTGACATCTTCCAGATATTACGGACTTCTTCTATACATATATATATATATATATATATATATATATATATAGAGAGAGAGAGAGAGAGAGAGAGAGGAGAGCGGAGAGAGAGGGGAGGGGAGAGGAGAGGAGAGGATAGATGAAAGATTAAAATACGACCACAGCTAATTATCATTTTGCATTTTATCATCATAGTGGTTCTGAAAAGAACCGTTTTTTTTTTGTTCTTATTTTTCGAACCGTATAACCGTCGAAGCGAATACAACGTCTATATTATTTTGAACTGGTTGTACTTGGTGACGGCTTTGGTACCTTCGCTGACTGCGTGCTTGGCCAATTCTCCCGGTAGCAATAGTCCGGCTGTCTGAATTTCTCTGCTAGTTATCGTGGCACGTTTGTTGTAATGTGCCAATCTGGAAGCTTCCGCAGCGATACGTTCGAAAATATCGTTGACGAAGCTGTTCATGATGCTCATCGCTTTGCTGGATATACCCGTATCGGGATGTACCTGCTTCAGTACTTTGTAGATGTAAATTGCGTAACTTTCCTTCCTCCTGCGCTTCTTTTTCTTGTCAGATTTTGAGATATTCTTCTGCGCCTTGCCCGCTTTTTTGGCAGCCTTACCGCTAGTTTTGGGTGGCATTTTATTGTGAGATGATGCTGAGTATAATCGACACCAACGCTCGACTAACGGAACGACTGCAATTCTCTGGCCGTATTTAAGACAGGTGACGTTACGACCGTAGACTCCGCCCCCAGGCGTTTGCCGGCAAACGTTCGCGTCGATTGGTCGGTTAGTTCATATAATACAACGTTCGCGGAGATCATGTGTGCATTTGCAAGTTCATAGTCGACCGTCGTTCGTTTAGCAGATTAACAAATTGAATATGTCAGGACGCGGAAAAGCGGTGGTAAAGTTAAGGGAAAGGCAAAGTCCCGATCCAGCAGGGCCGGCCTACAATTTCCCGTCGGTCGTATCCACAGGTTATTGCGAGAAAAGGGAATTATGCTGAACGCGTCGGTGCCGGAGCTCCCGTATATCTAGCGGCCGTTATGGAATACTTGGCCGCTGAAGTTTTGGAATTGGCAGGCAACGCTGCTCGCGACAATAAAAAGACCCGTATTATTCCACGTCATCTGCAATTGGCCATCAGAAACGACGAAGAATTGAACAAATTGCTTTCAGGCGTCACAATTGCCCAAGGAGGAGTTCTCCCTAATATCCAAGCTGTTCTTTTGCCGAAAAAGACGGAGAAGAAAGCCTAAAAAAAAAAATCTTCTGAACATACAATCGGCCCTTCTCAGGGCCAACAAAGTAATTTAATAAGAAAATGAAGGATTATCATTTGTATATGGAAAAATTTTCTCAGGGTTGATATCGGATCGGTTGTGGCGCGGAGAAGTTGGGCAATAACTAAATTATTTAATCGAGGCATTCTCATCGTCGCATTCACGTCTAATATTCGCCGGTATCTCGATAATGGGACATATCGGGACCGAAATCGTCGATTATTGTAATTCAAAGAGCCAAAACGTATAAGTCGATCAATTCTCATATTCCGATAAACTCATTTATGTGAGTGTTTCTTTTTATTTTGTATAAAAAAAAATAGAAAATTAATGTGGCGGTTCAATCGGCAGATCATTCTTTCTCACGAGAGAGTATATGGTGGTTCTGAAAAGAAACCGTTTTTTTTTCTTTGTATTGTATTTTCGTTCAACCTGTACCGTGGTAATTGCTGCGGAGTGTTTAACCACCGAATCCGTACAAAGTGCGTCCTTGTCTCTTTAATGCATATACGACGTCCATTGCAGTGACAGTCTTCCTTTTAGCGTGCTCGGTGTAAGTGACTGCATCCCTGATTACGTTCTCTAAAAAGACTTTGAGCACTCCTCGAGTTTCTTCGTAAATCAATCCGGATATACGTTTTACTCCTCCACGTCGCGCCAATCTTCTTATGGCCGGTTTCGTAATTCCCTGGATTGTTATCCCTCAAAACTTTACGATGCCTTTTCGCTCCTCCTTTCCCAATCCTTTACCACCTTACCGCGTCCAGTCATTTTTCAAGATTCTCTCGCACGTCGAACTGTTAAAGCGAACGGGCTGTTGCCAACTGACGGTACGTCTCTCGTGACGCCCGGTTTTGTTAGCGTTGTCGTCCCTCCTATGGTCTATCAATTGGCCAATCAGACTGTTTCGTATTTCGAGCCCATATAAATATAACTGTTCGCGGTGTTACCTCCGCTCACTATAATATTGTCCGTTGCAATATTCACGTCGCTGCTATATAGATAATTTATATTCAGTTATCTGAAATTTAACGTAATGGCGCGAACCAAGCAGACGGCTCGTAAATCCACCGGAGGTAAAGCTCCCAGGAAGCAATTAGCCACGAGGCTGCCCGTAAAAGTGCTCCTGCTACTGGCGGAGTTAAGAAACCTCACCGTTATCGTCCGGGAACTGTGGCTCTCAGAGAAATTCGTCGTTATCAGAAAAGTACCGAATTGTTGATCAGAAAATTGCCTTTCCAACGGCTGGTCCGTGAAATAGCGCAAGATTTCAAGACCGATTTGCGATTCCAAAGTTCTGCTGTAATGGCACTCCAAGAAGCTAGCGAAGCGTACCTGGTCGGACTATTCGAGGATACGAACTTGTGCGCGATCCACGCTAAGCGAGTAACGATCATGCCGAAAGATATACAGCTGGCAAGACGTATTAGGGGCGAACGTGCCTAATGGAATTGACGGATTTACTATTTGCCGGAAAGAGAGAGAGAGAGAGAGAGAGAGTACGGCGTGCGATAATAGGTTATAAAAAAAAAAACGGTTCTTTTCAGAACCATCATATAGTATGTTCAGAAAAAGGGGATCGTGTATTATGTTAAGTATATCAGATTGTTGTTTGTACGCGTGCAATTTCGACACTATTATCGTGTATGCAAAATAGCGCTAAATGGTTATACGATAATCGCTAGTTATTACCCGTTATCCTATATCGAAGGATTGTGGTGCTTTGTAGTAAACCGTTACATTGATATTATTCTAATAACGTACGAATTGTATGTATGTGTATGGAAGTAAAATAACTTATAAGTAGCATGTGATTATAATGTAGATAATTCGACATAATATAGATATTTTGCCGTATATATTGCTTAGGCGTTTAGGCAGGCTGTTAGCGTGTAATACGTAACATTAGGTACTTTCACGTAGATCAAAAGTCAGTAATGCGTACGTCTAATAATTAATATGTAGTAAGAGATGAATTTATAACTCGATCGCTCGTATATTATATAATATTTTTCTACTCTGGCTTATTTATTACGAATAATAGATTGATGTCTCATATTATTATCTATTTTGTCATATTACAGGAGTAATGTTAAAATTATCGCGATATATTTCGCGACTGTGCACGTTCGGATGTACGCCAGACATACCTCCGTATAATTGCGATTATCTAAAATACCTTATCCATTAGCCGTATACCGACAGTATAATTGTATTACGAATAGTCGTAGATTGTTAATTTCATGAAATATCTAATTATATAACGTATTCGTATAATATAAATTAGATCAAAAAGCCGGACGATTAGGTCCAAAGCGGATACCTTGCACGTTTCACCTTATAATTTTATCGTGTACGTAGCGTACGTGATCAAGTCGCGAAGTTAAATGTGTATTTCAAATTATGCAGATTTCATATTCGTTCAGGTTTTAGCTGTTGCTCGTATGCAATTATATCAGCGACTCAAAAAACCAACAGATACGACCGCAGGCTTGGCAGAATTGAAGCCGTCGAAATCGGTTTCGCTGCAAAGTCGGAGCGTTCAATGTTCGGTCCGACCGAAATGACTTGGGTCACGACGCTGAATTTACCTCTCACATTCATTCGACATTCGTTCTCTTAGCGAGATCGTCGATCAGTGATTGCAAAAGATCGCGCGTATACAATAATCTGTCTCCTCTTCACGACTCGTAAACATGGCAGATACGGAAAACCAGAATTACGCCGCGTCGGCTACGGCTACCGCGAATTCTGCGTCGCCGACGTCGCAGTCGTCTGCGAAAAAGGAGAAAAAACCGAAGAATCCGAGGGCGAAGCCGTCTCATCCTCCTACTAGCGAAATGGTCATCAACGCAATTAAAGGATTAAAAGAGCGTGGCGGGTCGTCTCTGCAAGCTATCAAGAAATACATAGCCGCTAATTACAAAGTAGACGCTGAGAAAGTTGCGCCTTTCATCAAGAGGTACTTAAAATCGTCCGTCGCGTCTGGAGCTTTAGTACAGACGAAAGGCAAAGGAGCTTCCGGATCGTTCAAGCTAGCTTCGTCATCGGCTGGCGGAGCGTCGAAAACTTCATCATCGTCAGCCGCAAAGGTTGGCGAAAAGAAGAAGAAATCCGCGACCGGCTCAAAGAAGAGCGGAACCGTAGCTAAGAGAGCTAGCGGTGCGAAATCTGCGAAGAAGGCATCTCCGAAGGCTAAGAAACCGGCGGTGGCCGGTGGTGCGGCCGAGAAGAAAGCTTCTCCAGCTAAGACAAAGAAAAGTGGGAAATCGGCGACGTCGGCTAAAGCTTCTTCTGCTGCACCTTCTGCAGCGGCTGCAAAAAAATCTCCTTCGAAGGCGAAGAAATCCAGCAAGGGAGCTCCGACCAAGAAGCCAAAAGCACCAAAACCGAAAACGGCGAAGGCTGCAACATCGCCAAAAAGGAAGGCCGCTTCACCCAAAAAGAAGAAATAAAAAAAAAAATTTAGACGTGTTGCAACGTCGTAGATTACGGCTACGTCGGTTCGAGACGTTATATTTATGCGAGAGGATGCTATACGTCCCCGCGGATTGAAAATGGCCCTTTTCAGGGCCACCACTATTACTATAAAAAGGATACAGAATATTTACGAATTAGCAATTTTGTATCGAAATATACATGTACAACTGCGGCTCGTACGTGCGTTGATGTTTTTTTTTTTTTTTTTTTTTTATTAAATTCGAGTATTATTCGTTTACGATTAGGTATTTATAAGCAAGTGGTAATGTTAGGCGTCGTCAACATCGATATTTGCTTTTAAGGGTATAAATAAGTATGTATTGTGTTTAATTAAACGAATGAACGTTAAACAGTCGATTGCGTCGTAAGGATATCCCCTTTTTTACGCTTTCGTTTACCATTAAATAATCCGGTCGGGTCTTATATCAGACGTTATTGCTTTAGTGGTGTATGTAAATCACGAATAATCATCTGGTATTCAAGTACCAATAATATATATGTTGCGCGTACGGTGATATCATTATCTTTACTTGATAACTTTAGTGGTTCTGAAAAGAACCGTTTTTATGTTGTAAGTTGTTGTTGATGTTGTTGTTGTCGTCGTAGTTACATATTACTTCGAACTGGTGTACTTGGTTACGGCTTTGGTACCTTCGCTGACGGCGTGCTTGGCCAATTCTCCTGGTAGCAATAGTCGAACGGCTGTTTGAATTTCTCTGCTAGTTATCGTGGCACGTTTGTTGTAATGTGCCAATCGGGATGCTTCCGCTGCGATACGTTCGAAAATATCGTTGACGAAGCTGTTCATGATGCTCATCGCTTTGCTGGAAATACCGGTATCTGGATGTACCTGCTTCAGCACTTTGTAGATGTAAATTGCGTAGCTTTCCTTCCTCCTGCGTTTCTTTTCTTATCAGACTTGGAAATATTTTTTTGAGCCTTACCGGCCTTTTTAGCTGCTTTACCGCTAGTTTTGGGTGGCATCGCGTTTCGATTTACACAAAAAGTACGATCTTTACTGACACAATATCGTGATCTATAATGGAAAGGTGTGCGGATAAACGGCGAGCTTTAACAGCCACGACGTTACCGACATAGACTCCGCCCCTTACGGGTGACCGACAAACGAAAACGGTGATTGGTCGGAGTAGTTATATAAATATACTCGTACCTAAAGACATTGCCATTCTATTCTATTAATTCGGTCAACGACAGCAGATTGTAGTCGTCGATTCGCAAGTCAAAAAGAAAATAATAAACAATAAACATGTCCGGACGAGGAAAAGGCGGAAAAGTGAAAGGAAAGGCAAAATCCAGGTCTAGTAGGGCCGGTTTGCAATTCCCTGTAGGTCGTATACACAGATTATTGCGTAAAGGAAACTATGCCGAACGCGTCGGTGCCGGAGCTCCTGTGTACCTAGCCGCCGTTATGGAGTACTTGGCAGCCGAAGTGTTAGAGTTGGCCGGCAACGCTGCTCGCGACAATAAAAAAACCAGGATCATTCCACGTCATCTGCAGTTAGCAATCAGGAATGATGAAGAATTAAACAAGTTACTTTCCGGCGTAACCATCGCCCAAGGCGGAGTTCTTCCGAATATTCAGGCTGTCCTATTGCCGAAAAAGACAGAGAAGAAAGCCTAAATAATAATAATAATAAGAAAATAACGTCAAAACTAGAAATCGGCCCTTCTCAGGGCCACACAATTCGTTTGTTGAAGAAAAAATAGAGATCATCGGATCAGGAAACAAAAAAAAAATCACGTAATATTTTGCCGATATTCCTTCATGCTGTTTGGGATTCAAGTAACAACAGCCCAATAACCGCATGATACAGTGTGATGTTACGTTTCTACGATACGGATCGTGACATGGAAAATGCAACAAATAATACCAATTCTTACTTACCGTAACATTTTATGTTTACCTAGCATCGATGGGTTGTGGAGCTCGACTATATGGAGATACCTTGGAGGGATAGTTACTTTCTAGAGGTACTGTCGGAATGATAGAACTTTATTCCAACGCAATTTTACATACAATGCCGCTAGTGTCTATAACGACAATCACGTTAACTCTCCCTCTCCCCCCCCCCCTCTCTCTCTGTCTCACACATTGCTCTTCCCCCCACTCCTCAAGGGTATGAGGTTGCCTGGAACAGGGGTGG